GGGTCATATCCTGCATGAAATTTTGGGCATGAGAAAGCTGTCGGCGCGATGGGTGCCGCGTTTGCTCACTCCGGACAACAAGCGCAATCGTGAGACCACTTCAGAACAGTGTTTGACGCTGTTTAAGCGCAATCCGAAGGAGTTTCTGCGTCGTTTCGTGACCGTCGACGAAACATGGATCTGGTACATACCAGAGACCAAGGAACAGTCGAAACAGTGGACTTCACCCGGCGAACGTGCTCCGAAGAAGGTGAAGACTGTCCTATCGGCCGGAAAGGTGATGGCCACCGTTTTCTGGGATTCACAAGGTGTGATCTACATCGACTACCTGGAGAAGGGCAAAACGGTCACAGAGCTGTACTATGCCGAATTATTGGGCCAATTCGACGCCGAATTGCAGAAAAAACGGCCCCATTTGGCGAAGAAAAAAGTGATCTTCCACCATGACAACGCACTGGCTCATACCTCCGCCCTCGCCACGGTCAAATTGGTCGAATTGGGTACGAACTGCTGCCCCATCCACCGTATTCTCCAGATTTGGCCCCGTGCGACTTCTTTTTGTTTCCAAACTTGAAAAAGTCACTCGCCGGGCAGAAATTTGAGTCGAATGAGGAGGTCATCGCCGCCACGGAGGCCTACTTTGCAGACCTCGAGAAAACGTATTTTTCAGACGGGTTAAAGAAGTTGGAGCATCGTTGGGTCAAGTGTATCGTGCTAAAAGGAGACTATGTTGAGAAATAAATCGCCACTTTTCCAAAATTTTCGTTTTTCTTTTGTAGGCTAAGTACTTATCGGACCACCCTCGTATACACATTCGATATCTATTAATATTCTATAGTGAAGGTTTATAATTTAATGTAATACTATATAAACTTAAATAAAACATTACACCGTATGTGTATAGAGAGAATTTATAAGTACATTTTATTATAATAAAAATGCTGTCATGTATGTATTAAACAAGTTTTAGTTCGATATAGTTTTTGGTGCAGCCGCGCCAAGATTATTTGTATTAAATATTTTTTATTGCATTGTTACAATAATTGATTTGTTATAATAACAAGTAAAATAACCATATAACTGAGTGTTCTAATAAATAATGATAAATTTTACTTGTAAAAATGTATGCCATGGACATTTTTTGTATCTAGTTTTTTCGTGAATAATAATAACCTTTAAAAAGATATTTTTTTAAATATTGGACATTATTAATAAACGTGTTAAATTTTTATAATACTATATAATTTTTACTTTTAAAAACTTATGTACATATATTTCTTGAAAGAAAAATAATTTGATAAGTTTTATTTGTAAAAACTTATGTTATGTACATAATATATATCTTAAAAAAGGAATTCTAAAAATATTAAGTATACAATAATTATATATATATGTTAGGTTTCTCAATTGGCGCTACTGTTCTAATATATCACTTTTTTTGTACAGTAGAATAGTGTTGTAGAATTTTATTATAGTTATAAGTTTTACTTGTAAAAACTTATGTTATGTACACATATATGCTTTAAAAAAATAATTTGAGTTTAAAATTTCTAAAAATAACACAATAGGTGTTGCACTTGTACTTAGCGCCTTTTTTTTACCTTTTTGTTGAAAAAGGTAAGTTTTATATAAATTTTACTTGTAAAAATTGTATATATGTTATGTACATAATATATATCTTAATATGACTTTCTTGAAAATGTCGTATCACGGAGATCCATTAGAAATCCACTAGAAAAGGTTAAAGGTGTAACATTGAAAAACAGTTATTAATTCTTTGTCTATATGATTTTGCGTAGCCGATCGCGCAGTCAAATGTAAATGTATCTTCTGTCTCGACTGCTTCCGTCTATTTTCTGCAACTCAGTGCACAAAGTACAATTTCTGCGACATTTCTACGTGATGTAACAAATGTGATATAAAAGAAAAACAGTCAACTTTTTATTCAACTTACACCTTCCCTTTTCTTTTACAACATAAAAACAACAAATTCCGACCATAAACATTATCCTTTTGACCGTTTGAGCTGCATAATAATAATGAATTATAAGATTAGTACTTGTTATTAGGTGTATGAATTAATTCGGTCCCTTTTTTCTTCCAAAAAAAGACTTTAGTATGAAAAAACATGAAAAAGTGTACTAATTAAAGTGTTTGCCATCGCTTGCTATTATTTTTTTCCATCTGTCTGGCAGTTGTTGCATTCCGTGACGGAAAAACGACTCATCCTTCGAAGCGGTCCATTCATTGAGCCATTTTTCTTTTATATATGTACATAAGCTTTTAAAAGTAAAAATTATATAGTATTAAAAAAATTTAACACGTTTATTAATAGTGTCCAATATTTAAAAAAATATCTTTTTAAAGGTTATTGTTATTCACGAAAAACCTAGGTACAAAAAATGTCCATGGCATAAATTTTTACAAGTAAAATTTATCATTATTTATTAGAACACTCAGTTATACTCGTTAGAGTTATACTCAGAACACTCGGTTATTTTACTTGTTATTATAACAAATTAATTATTGTAACAATGCAATAAAAAATATTTAATACAAATAATCTTGGCGCGGCTGCACCAAAAACTATATTAAAGATGTATGTACATAAAAGTCAAATTAGATATCATTGACATTTCGTCAATTATAATAAGAATAACATCTTTGAATAAAAAAATATCAAAATATGTAGAATATATACACATTCAATATCTATTAATATTCTATAGTGAAGGTTTATAATTTAATATAATACTATATAAACTTAAATAAAACATTACACCGTATGTGTATAGAGAGAATTTATAAGTACACTTTATTATAATAAAAATGCTGTCATGTATGTATTAAACAAGTTTTAGCTCGATATAGTTTTTGGTGCAGCCGCGCCAAGATTATTTGTATTAAATATTTTTTATTGCATTGTTATAATAATTAATTTGTTATAATAACAAGTAAAATAACCATATAACTGAGAGTTCTAATAAATAATAATAAATTTTATTTGTAAAAATGTATGCCATGGACATTTTTTGTAGCTAGGATTTTCGTGAATAACAATAACCTTTAAAAGGATATTTTTTTAATATTGGACACTATTAATAAACTGTTAAATTTTTATAATACTATATAATTTTTACTTTTAAAAGCTTATGTACATATATGTATTGAAAAAAAAATAATTTGATAAGATTTATTTGTAAAAACTTATGTTATATACATAATATATATCTTAAAAAAGGAATTCTAAAAATATTAAGTATACAATAATCATATATATATGTTAGGTTTCTCAATTGGCGCTACTGTTTTAATATATCACTTCTTTTGTACAGTAGAATAGTGTTGCAGAGTTTTATTATAGTTATAAGTTTTACTTGTAAAAACTTATGTTATGTACACATATATGCCTTAAAAAAATAATTTGAGTTTAAAATTTCTAAAAATAACACAATACGTGTTGCGCTTGTACTTGGCACCTTTTTTTTATCTTTTTGTTTAAAAAGGTAAGTTTTATATAAATTTTACATGTAAAAATTGTATATATGTTATGTACATAATATACATCTTAATATGACTTTCTTGAAAATGTCGTATCACGGAGATCCATTAGAAATCCACTAGATATATATTACATAATTCGCGTAGTTAACTCCTGAATGTAAAGAAAAAAACCGAATATCATATATGCTGTCTTTAAAGCATAAACGAGTAACGTCGCTATTGAAACTTGTAATTTCTTCCACGACTTGCATGACATTTAGAATATGTAGATGTAACGTTTTATATTTGCATGTTCGCCATGAATACTTCATAAGAAATATTGTCATAATAATTTGCTAATGGTAAATTAAGGTATTAATAACTGAATGTACCGTACATATTGTATAACTATAAAAATGGGAGAGATTATGGTATAGTAATATATAACGCAAAACATTCTAGCAAGTTTAATTAGACTGTCGATAACTCAGTAGTTTCGTAAATAATATAAGTAACGTACGTACCACGCAAATAGTATAAGTAACATTAATTAAGTATCGATAAATAAAAGCTTGTCAGCGATTTAGTGTAAAGTGTGATTGAAAAATACCATAGCATTAAAAAATTGATAATTATTCATAGGCAATGTAAAGCGTAAAGATAAATATCAAATCCCGAAATTTGTATGAGTGAGTGGTTCATGAGCGAATGGTTAAGGAATGCCTCGTATGGATTTACATTATAAACTTTGTGAAATAATTTTCATGTTTATTTGACGGATATCTTAATTTTGTCTGAAAAATGGTACAAATATATAAAAGGGAAAATTTCCATTATGATCATGTTTAATAAAATATCTTGATGTTTTTATAATATCTCGCAAGATATATTAAGAGTTACGATCGCATTTATGAAATACGTAAAAGGATAAATAAATCTGCATTGAATGAAAAATTACATTTTTATATAAATTGGCTCAACATTAATGTAATGTTTCTGATTAACAAGTACTGTACTATATATACCTATAGAGACATTTGCACGATATTTCTGATTTCTAATGATACGTACATATATGATATAATGTATATGTGATGTCGAATATTCCAATTTTTTTATGTCCTTCTCCGACAAAATCTCTAAAACTTCAACATTATGGTTACACTAAGTTACACAAAAAATAAATTTGCAGGACTATTCGCAGTAGCAATGTAATAATGATGTCGCATATAGCAATAGTTACACTACAAGAAGAAATTATGCAAAATTTATGCAAAGGGACACTCTGGAACGTCCTTCACGAACGTTCTTCACGAACTGATTAGAATTCAATAGGCAAGCAAAATTTCATAATATACGCAGTAGAGAATAATGAATATGGGTGAATAAATCGATGACCAGTGATATAACATAATATTCACATAAATATTCACGATACTGGACGATGACCGTACAGAATTATCAGAGTGAATAATCGTTATTGTTCTCTTAAAAGAACGTTGCAGTTGCAAATCAGACTTAGCTGTTGTAACTCGTGTATCCACAACCTTCTCAACTCGTCTATTGATTATCATTTGATAAAATTTGTAAACTTTACCACATAAAACACCACATAAAAATTCCCTTACGCTTCAATTAGTAAGTTCTTTCTAGTGATTATTACATTTGGCATTTTAACCCTTAAAATCATAATGGATTCGCTGTGTTCGATACCGGCCTTCTATTCCGGAAAGAGCGTTTTCATTACTGGTGCTACGGGGTTTTTAGGAAAATCATTGATAGAAAAATTGTTGAGGTCGTGTCCTGATATAAAAGAGATATTTCTGTTAATGCGCCCGAAGAAAGACGTGAATATAGAAGAACGGCTCCGAAAGTTGCTGACCAACCCGGTAAATTCACTATTTATAATTGACAATCTCGCAAAGTATCATTTTCATCATGTGTTGTGTTGTATGCTTTAGTTGTTTCATACATTGCGGCGTGAGCAACCCCATTGTTTCGACAAATTGATTCCCGTAAAAGGTGACATTGCTATTGAGAATCTGGATTTGTCAGACACCGATAGAAACTTGCTAATCCAGAAGACGTCTGTAATATTCCATATAGCGGCGAACGTGAGATTCGATATTACTCTGAGAATGTCGGTGCTCCAGAACGTAAAAGCTACGAGAGATATATGTATTTTAGGTGAACATATGAAGAATCTAGTGGTAAGTAGATACTATATTAAATTTAAAGGCATGTACTTGCATACGAATGTGTGAAGGAAAGAGAAAATTGCGATGTAAATTTTTTCTTATATTGGAAATTCCGATATTTTTTTATAAAAATACCAATAAGATACTTAACTAGAAAATTATCAGACATTATTATGTGTATGTATGTATTTAACTATATTCCTTAAAGGCTCTCGTGTATGTCAGCACGGTATACTCACAACTCGACAAACACGTTATTGATGAAATCGTGTATCCAGCGGAAGTCGATTGGAAAAAAATGATTCAAGTCGTCGAGACTTTGGACGAACAACTATTGGAAGTGTTCAAGTCAAAGTAAGTATAGAATCCGGTATCTACGCTATATATATTAAGTGCTTCATCGAAGATATCACATACGTATGTCTGATAAATAAAAAATATATTAATAAAATGAGGTAATCTCTTCGTTCTCAAATCGTTGGCAAATTTAGTTGATTTCATCTAAAGTGATATGTTTCATCAAAACGATCGCTTATGATAGATTTAGAATATATTCTTGAAAACACTTGCAAATGGAATTATTGACAGGTACATGGGCTATCTGCCGAATAGCTACGTATTTTCCAAGAAACTCGCCGAGCAAGTGATAGTCGATTACTCTGAGTCGTTGCCGTGTGTAATTTTGAGGCCATCCATAGGTATGCTGTTATTAACAAATATACTGCTTATTATTCATATTGCTTGTTATACAAATTTTGCACGGAGAAAAATAATTTACATATGTTAACGATGCAATCAACAAAACAAAATTATTTTGCTTGAAGAATGTAGGATCTCTTGACTATCAAATTTGTTTCTAAGATTCAGAAATTATGGTTTTTCCGGTTTTGAAATACGTTTCAATTAGTCCTTTTCTACGTGTAGGCTATATGTTTTTATCATCGAGTTTAAATCCTGAACTGGACTCTCACGATACATAAATGACTTGTAGTTCTTCACAACAGTCGTTTTCCAATGAGGAGCATTCATAATATTGTTATGCACGTTATGCACCTACATGGTACACCAATACCATCGTTTTAGAAAAAGCATGAATTAGAAAACTGTCAGATTACTTAGGTACATAAACGTAAAGGGATGAGAATTTATTTTTAAACAACTTATTTTATAAATTAATGGAATTTTTGAATATCAGTCTGTTTATCTCAGATTTGCAGTTTATTAATTATTTGATACTATCAAACCTTTCTAAAAAAATTAATATTTTAACAGTTGCAGCAACGTTGAGCGAACCTGTAAAAGGATGGATGAGCAATTTTAACGGCCCGATAGCACTTAGCATCGGCGTTGGGAAAGGACTAGTAAGGTTAATATATGGAGATATAAACGTACACATTAACATCATACCGCTTGATACCTTCAGCAAATCTGCCATTGTTGCATCATGGAAATGTGGAGTGAGAAAGACGTAAGTTCCATTTTATTATATGATATTAAGCGAGGATCAGAAGAATCGTTAAAATTTTTGAAGGGAAAAGTAACGGAATATACAGGGTGTCCCATTTTAAATCCCCCAGGCAAATATCTTGAAAAAGATGGAAGATACGGAAAAATGTTTCAGACAAAAGTTGTATAGTTTCAAGGGGAACATACAACAACTATATCAATTTGTTCACAGATAGCGCCATTTTCGAGATATTTACTGATCATTACTTTTCTTAAATATAATAGAAACCCCAATTTCTTATTACACCATCTTTTCCTACCAATTAATTTGAATAATTTATTGTTACGCGCTGGGTGCTAATAAGCGCGTATCCAGGTTCGCGAAATGATTTAACACTTGACTAAGAAAGAATTCTACTTTAGTATCGTTATTTACAAGGATATTTACAAGATTCTTTCGTTCTAACCATATCTGAGAACAACGTTTTTCACACGTCAACTCGCGGCGACGGCTTGTGTGTCTCTCTGTCAGTTATTATTTGTCTCGTTGTCTAGGGAAATCGCTCTCCAATCTCATGGACCGGTATCGATTTTACGTAGCTCAGCTGATCAGATCATTCCAGATGTCGGGCAATTTAAAAACAGGCGATACCACATACCGTGGCATATAATATATGTATACACAGTGTGTCCTGTTTTAAATTCTCCAGGCAAATATCTCGAAAAATATGGAAGATACGGAAAAATATTTCAGACAAAAGTTATATGGTTTCAAGGGGTACATAAAACAATTATACTAGTTTGTTTACAATTTTTTATTATACCATCTTTTTCTACCAATTAATTTGAACAACTTTTGTCTGAAATATTTTTGTATTTACCTAATACTTTCTGAAATATTTAAGGAAAACGTGATAACTTTTCAATATTTAACTCACGATATCTCGCTAACTATTTGACGCTAACTATCGGAAGAAAAAGTAGTAGAACTAGACTTTTCTATTCTATTTAATATCAAGAATATATTGTTATAATAGCGCTCTGACTTTTGTTAACTTACTGACTATTGGAAATTTCAAAATCATCAGATTAACAAAAGTCAGGGCGCTATTGTAACAATATACATGTTACTGAGACCAAGTAGAGCAGAAAAGTCTAGTACTACTTTTCTTCCGACAAATGATTAGCGAGGTATCGTAAGATAAATATTGAAAAAGTTATCAAGTTTTCCTTAAATATTTAAAAAAATATTAGGCAAATAAAAAAATGTTTCAGACAAAAGTTGTTAAAATTAATTGGTAGACAAAGATGATGTAATAAAAAATGGATTTCCACTTAAGAAAGCTAATGATCAGTGAATATCTCGAAAGTGGTGCCATTTGCAAAAGGGTAAAATGGTAAAAAACTTTTTGGTTTAGAATGACTTAATTTACAATTATATGACAGTTATTGTAACGATAGGTTCCAGATTCAAGGTTCAAATTTCAATATACTCATATCTATCGCTAGACATAATAGTCGTCATATAATTGTAGATTAGGTCATTCTAAATCAAAAAGTCTTTTAACATTTTGCAGATAAGTGTCCAAATTTTCAAGTTATCAACACGTTAACCACATTTACACGTTAACAAACGTGTAAATGTGGTCATTTTCAATCATTAATAACTTAATACGTATTGCGAATTTTGCAAAATGCTACATAACTTTTTTTCTCAATTTGGTGTGATTAATTTTCACAATTTTTCATTTCCAAAAGATCTCAGACATTTTGTAGATATATTTGTGTGCTGGTTATTCTCATTCAATATACAAGGATATAACGAGTTGTTTCAAACTCTTTACAGAAACATGAGGATCGATCTTCCACTTGTATACAATTGCGCGATGTCTCATGATAGATGTCCGATAAATAAAGATTTAGTAAATTTCTCCAGGAATTATATACAAAAACTTCCTTTGGAAAATCTACTTTGGTATCCTCAAGTGTATTACATAAAGAACCTGTACTTCTACAACCTGTTGTTTATATTGTTCCAAATAATACCTTTCTGGTTCATCGATGAACTCCTACGATTATCAGGCAGACAACCGAGGTAAGATGTTAATTTTTCTCTCGATTAATCGATTGTGCAAACATATGTAATCATGTATTCACTATTGAAGCAAAAGGTAAAATCTTTTGAGACGATTTATACGAGATACATATGTATATAACATATGTATCCCACTGTAAACAGTCGGTCCGAATATCTCGAAAACTGAGCCTGATAGACAAAAATGTTTCAGACAAAAGTTGTATGTTAACCGATATAGTTGTTTAAAGGGAGGCATAAAATAACTATATCAGTTTGTTTACAGATGATGCCACTTTTAAGATGTTCATAGTCATTACTTTAAGATATTCATGATCATTACTTTTCTTAAACAGAAACCCCAATTTTTTATTATACCTTACTTTTTTATCAATTAATTTGAATAACTTCTGTCAAAAACATTTTTTTATTTGCCTAGTATTTTTTGAAATATTTAAGGAAAACTTAATAACTTTTTCAATATTTAACTTACAATATCTTGCTATTTGTCGGAAGAAAAAATAGTACTAGACATTTGTACTCTATTTGGTCTCAAGAATATATTGTTACAATGGTATCCTAAGTTTTGTCAATTTATCGATTTTTGGGAATTTCAAAATTATCAAATTAACAAAAGTCAAGATGCTATTGTATTAAGTTGGGAAGTAATTGCAGATTTCACTGATAGATGGCGTTAGTTGAATTTTTAGGTATATTTACGTATTCGAAATGTCAAACCTATATTGTTATTCGATAATTGGTACTTTAACTGGCATTCAGTAAAAAAATTGTATCGATCGGTTGTGTAATTTTTGTTTGGCGTCGATTGAAAAATGGAAAAGCAAAACGAGCATTTTTGTCATATTTTGCTTTTTTACTTCCGCAAAAGAAAAAACGCATCACAAGCCCACAAAAAGTTATGTGCCGTGTATGGTAACGAAGCCTTAAAAGAACGACAGTGTCAAAATTGGTTTGCTAAATTTTGTTCCGATGGTTTTTTACTCAAAGATGGACAACGCTCTAGTCGTCTAGGTGAAGTTGATGACAACCAATTCAAAGCAATAATCGATACAAATCGTTGTAGCATAACATGTGAGATCGCAGAGAAACTCAATGTATCACATGTATTGAAAAGCGTTTAAAGCAATTTGACTATGTAAAAAAACTCGATTTATGGGTTTCTCATAAACTTAAATAAATTCACTTATCACAATACATTGCCATCTGCTATTTGTTTATGAAACGTAACGAAAATGATCCATTTTTGAAATGATTGATAAGTGGCGATGAAAAATGGGTTGTTTACAACAATATCAATCTAAAAAAATCGTGGAACAAACAAAATGAACCAATGCAAGCCACATCCAAAGCTGATATTCATCAAAAGAAAGTTATGTCATCAGTTTGGTGGGATTGCAAAGGATGTCTACTTTGAAGTTTTACCACGCAACCAAACAATCAATTCAGATGTATACATTCAACAACTAACTAAACTGAATAATGCATTTCAAGAAAAGCAACCAGAATTAGCAAATCAAATATTGTGTTCCACCATGACAATGCAAGGCCATACACATCCTTAGTCAAAAATTATTGGAGATTGGTTGGGCTGCGTTGCCACATCCACTATATAGTTCCTTACATCATCAGATTATTATTTACCTCGTTATTTGCAAAACTTTTAGAATGGTAAAATTTTCAATAATGATAAAATCAAATCGCACTTGTTTTAGTTTTTTGCTGATAAAAACCAGAAGTTTTATAAACATGGAATTATGCTGAAATCATGCTGTCTGAAAGAGAGCAAAAAGTCATTGATAAAAATGAACAATACATTACTGCATAAAGTTATTTCGTTATATGAAAAAATTGTCTTTTATTTTCTTAAAAAATCCGCAATTATTTAGTTGCCAAACCAATAACAATGTATTCTTGAGATCATTTAGAGTAAAAAAATCTAATACCATTTCTTCTTCCAACAAACAGTTAGCGAGATATCGTAAGTTAAATATTAAAAATATTACGAAGTTTTTCTTAAATATCTTAAAGAATATTAGGCAAATAAAAAAATATTTCAAATAAAGTTGTTCAAATTAATTAGTAGAAAAAGAAAATATAATAAAAAATTGGGGTTTCTATTTAAGAAAAGTAATAATCAGTGAATATCTCGAAAGTGGCATCTTCTGTATATAAGCCGATATAATTGTTTTATGTTTCCCTTGAAACCATACAACTTTTGTTTGAAATATTTTTGTTGTCGGGCATAATTTTCGAGATATTCAGATCGACTGTTTACAATGGGACACCCTGTATACTATAGATGCTAAGATCAATTCTGAACAAGTATCGTGTTGCCCATTTGCAATTTGTTGATATATTTACAGATATATTAGGTGTACAACTTTGCTTCCGCTGTTTTTTTCCGAAATTCGAGGCTTTATTGTAAAAAACTGGTTATACATTTATGATTCAAAGTATTGTCCATCGCTGGCCACTACTTTCTCCCATCTATCGGGCAACGTACGAATCCCGCGTTGAAAAAACTGGTCATCTTTTGAAGCGATCCACGAATCGATTCAATTTCTTACTTCTTCATAAGACCGGAAGTGCTAGTCAACCAGGCCGTGTGCCATTGATCGAAACAAGTGATAGTCAGAGGGAGCAACGTCTGGAGAATATGGCGGGTGGGGTAGGACTTCCCATCTCAACGTTTCCAAGTATGTCTTAACTACTTTCGCAACATAGGGTCGAGCAATGTCATGCTGCAAAATCACTTTATTGTGTCTCTCGTTGTATTGCGGCCGTTTGTCTTTCAATGCTCGGCTCAAACGCATTAATTGCGTTCGATAACGATCGCCTGTGATTGTTTCAGTCGGTTTTAACAGCTCATAATACACTACGCCGAGCTGGTCCCACCAAATACAGAGCGTGACCTTGGAGCCGTGAATATTCGGTTTGGCCGTCGACGTGGAAGCATGGCCGGGGTATGCCCATGATTTTCTGCGCTTGGAGTTATCGTAATAAACCTATTTTCCGTCCCCAGTTACAATGTGATGCAGAAATCCCTTTCGTCTTTGCCTTTCAAGCAACTGTTGACAAGCAAAAAAACGCCGTTCAACATCTTTCGGTTTCAACTCGTACGGCATCCAATTTCCTTGATTCTGAATTATTCCCATATCTTTGTGGCGTTTTGAGATTGCTTGTTGAGTCACTCCCAATGATCGTGCCAATTTTTCTTGACTTTGACATGAGTCTTCATTAAGTAATGCCTCTAATTCTGCATCTTTGAAAACCTTCTTTCTTCCACCGCTATGCTGGTCTTCGACGTGAAAATCACCGTTTTTGAAACCACTCACGACACGTTCTTTCGCTAATAGCAGCCTCACCATAAGTATTTGAGAGCATTTGATGAGCCTCAGCAGCAAATTTCTTCATATTGAAGCAGAAAATTAAAACCTCCCGCAAATGACGAGAATTTGGCTCGTAAACTGACATTTTCAATCTAGAATAACTTTATGATGCAGACACAAATCGACTAATGTTTCTGTGGGGTTATGTTGACAGATACCCAAGTTTATTGCATGACGTCTATGATCTATTTATTTCGACCACTACTGACCGCTAAAGCCATCTATAGGAAAACGGCGGAAGCAAAGTTGTACACTTAATAAAACAGAGATAAGAAAATTGCAAATAATGTGTTTAAAATAACAAATATTATTTACATTTTAAGATAAAACTCAACAATTCTTTTCTCACTATTTCTTTTATAATAAACACGTATACTTACTGTGTAGATAACATGATTTTTTGACAAATTGATTCGACCTTTTTTAAATCACAGGTTGATGGCATTGCAGAGGAAAATTTTTATAAATAATTACATTTTGGCACATTTTACACTAAACAATTGGGACATACGAAATGAAAGGGCGATTAGCCTGTCTGATGAAATATCAAACGATCAACAAGAATTTGAATATGGAACAGTCCTCTCTAAGGGAATTAACATGATAACATATTTGGAGTAAGTGACAAACCTGCTTTATTTACTAATTATTATTACGTCCTACTTACGTCGTAACTTTAAACAACCTTTCTAATCTCAATCATAAAATTAATTCAACAATAACATTTAGACCGGATATTTTGGCTACTCGATCCTCAGTCTAGATGTAATAAATACGACACCGAATGCTTCTTCACCGGAGAAGACCTAAAGAACAATAGATAGATAATAAATACCATGACCACGATTATTGATTATTATTCTAATGTCGTGTGAAACACCTTACCCCTTCTTCTATTAAGGTGATAAGAACTCCCGTAGAAGTGTCTCACCACCATAAAAGGGCAACGCGGATGACAACCAGCGGCTTTAGCTCTTAGCTTTTAAATAGGACACACAATTCTTGCGCACTTGGGTGACACTTGGGAAATATTGGGTCTGGGAAGAAGTTCGTGGCGTTTTTTTAGTAAAATTCAACTGGTTTTCTTATAGTGTGAAAATGAATTTATTTAAACCAAATATGCTCCATTATTATCGACAATGTTTCGTCATTTTTCGGGTAGAGCCATGATGCCATCGGTGAAGAACTTCTGTAGTTTCTGGTTAAAAAACTGAATCAAGTGGTTTTCACAGGTTTCTTTTGAAACCAGCTTAATTCCATTGAGAAAGTTCTGCAGAGATCGGAACAAGTGATAGTCAGAGGGTGCTATGTCTGGATTATACGGTGGATGTATCAAAACTTCCCAACCAAGCTCTCGCAATTTTTGACGGGTCATCAAAGAAGTGTGTGGTCGGGCGTTGTCATGATGGAAGACAACACCTTTCCTATTATTCGATTCGAGCCGTTTTCTTTCAATTGCCTGGCGTAATCTCTCTAGTTGTCCACAGTAGAGTTGAGAATCAATCGTCTGACCAACTGGAAGTAGCTCATGGTGGACGATTCCCTTCCAGTCCCACTACATATACAGCATCACCTTTTTCGGCGTCAATCCTGGCTTCGCGAACGCTTGTGACGGCTCACCATCCCTTGATCTTTGACTCTTCCGATTGTTGTACGTGATCCATTTTTCATCACCGGTTATGACACGTTTCAGAAATGGCTCGATTTCATTACGTTTCAGCAGCACATCGCAGATGTTAATTCGGTCTATCATGTTTTTCGCGCTCAACTCATGAGGAACCCATACATCGAGCTTCTTTTTGTAGTCAGCTTTGTGTAAATGGTTCAAAACAGTTTTGTGGTCAATGCCTAGCTCCATACCAATATCGACACTGCTGATATGCTTATCTTGCTGGACTTTTTTAAGAATTCCATCAGCTTTTTCAGTGATTGGACGACTAGAGCACTCATCTTTCACATCAAAATTACCAGAACGAAAGCGAGCGAACCATTTCCGCGCAGCAGATTTTGATAAAGTACCTTCACTGTACACAGCACAAATTTTTTCATAAGCCTGCGCAGCGTTCTTCCTTTTATCGTAATAATATTGCAAAATATGGCGCAATTTTTCATTACTTTTCTCCATTTTCAAACGCAAACAACTTTCCAACCACTGCACCAATTTCGATGTTTATACACTCAAAGTAACGCTCGAAGTGTCACCTTTCCAACGAGCGTTTAATGTCGCTGCGATTGTGTTTCCTGAGTTATTTGCAATTGACGCCATCTATCGGGAAAAACGCCACGAACTTTCTCCCAGATCCAATATTTGGGCATTTTAAACTCTTATGCCTGACGAAATTCTTTTTAATTCTTTGCAATATTCAAATCTCAGTTTATAGTAACTTATCATTCATGCCCAAAATCATCTTTGATACTTTACATCAATTGTTCGTTGTAAATTTTAATTGCCATCTATATTTCGTTCTAATTTAATTGCCATTCACACTAGTTGCCATTGAATTCATATACAAGCTTTTCAGTTGTATTCAGCCGGTAAATAAAGGTTTGTTTTAAAATACAGTTTCACTCACAAGGGAACTGTCAGGGGTGTCCCTCACCGATTTGATTCCTTGAAATATATTATAAAACAAACAAATCAAAAAGATACGTATTTTTTTATATCGGTCCAATCTCATGTTTAAGGGATGAAACAACCCTTAAAAAAAACAGTCTTTTTCTTTGAGATCGAATATTGTCGAAACTATAAGACATACAAAAAAATTGTTTCAACAAAATTTTAATGGTTTGAAGAGTACTTTGAGGTTATGCAAAGAAAAAATTTTTTATTAAATATTTTTTTATTTAACCACCACCTCCACCTCTCCTTTTTGCAAAATTAAAAATTTTTGTTTACCAAAGTAAAGGTTATTTATTTCCAAATTCAACCATGCATAATAAAGTAACGTTACGAGAAATCATTTTCGAGAATTAATTGTTATCGCCTCCGTATATACGTTCATCTGTGCTATGTGCGCAGGTAATTATGGTTCAACCAGTAAAACATATAAAAAAATGCTTCAAATAAAATTTTTAAAGTTTTCTATATAACTTACAACTTTTCTTTCTTTCTTTCTTTCTTTCATTCTTTTCTTTTCATTTACGCACCCTCTCGTCCTAACGCGGTGGGGCTCCTGAACCTACTAATAAGATTCGAAAATATATAATGGCTTTTGGCGATTCCCTGGGAAAGACATTACATATTAAGCGCACGTAATATGAAGAAGACAACTTTAGAGTACTAGAGAAGAATTATTTGTTTTAGAAGAGCACATTAATGGCCAAATATATGTCCGAAACGTTTGTGAATTATAATAATAAAATATTTCTAAAAAATCACACGTACATTCAATGAAGAGTTTATGGCTTATAGGGATTAAGGACTGATGTTTTTGTATATATTTTCGAATATTTTCGTACATATTTTTACATATTTATGCTTTTATATTTTGTAGTTTACACAATAATTCATAAACGTACTTAATAATTAAAAGAACATAATAAATTTATATTTAGAGTTATTCGCTCTCATTATACTCATTACAATAATGATATTCGTGGAAAAAGTGTTTCAAACATAATGACTTTTTATATCACGAACATCTTATTACCGCTATATTGTTACAACCTTCGATATCACATGTAGTTGAAGTTTCGTCAAAACTAAACTGTACAGGGTTTTTAAACTCTTCTGGTTTCTCGTCTGTATAACCGCTTTTAAACCACGAATATTTAAACAAGTTGTGATATCGTGGGGATGACAACTGATTATGTATCAGTGATTGCAACTTTATTATATTATTTCGTTCATGCAAATTTATATCGCTTTCCAATAGTAAAACAATATCTGAAAATCTTTTAGCAAAATTTTTCCAAATTCTAAATCCATACACATCTAATGGTTGTATTTTTCCTGTAGTGCCTTTTGGTATTATCATAGTAGTAATACGTTTTCCCGAAGGTGTTAAATCCGAAATGATATTAGGGCAATGTCCAGTCCATGAATCGATAAGAAGAACGCTATTAGAACCAATGTTTGGAAAATAAGCTTCTTCTAACCACATTTTAAAATGATCTGTAAGAAACGTAAATGTTAATTTAATAGCTTTTTCATGACGCCTTTTAGATTGTTAAATAAAATATGAAATAGTTATAAAAGGATATCTATACCTGATGTCATTTTGCCAGATTTCGATGCTTTTACAATAACATTTATTGGTTTAAACAAGTTTTCTTCTACTCTTGGTCCAAATCTACCATGAACTTCTTTTAACACAATAAATAAAGGTGACAGCAATTTGCCATCACACGATATTATTGATTGTATCGTGTATGACTGTGTCGTTGATGATATAGACTGCACGACACGTTCTGTTTTCTTTTCTCCTTCGTTAGACAATGATCTTCCAGAATGAATTTCCAATTGGAAACCACTTTGATCTGAATTATAAATATTTTTAGATCCAAACTGTTCAATAAGAGGCTTTACTGCTTTCAAAAAATCATCAGTTGTTTTTTGCAAATCAACAGAATCTTCCAATGATCTTCTAGTGACAAACTTCGTAACTTTTCTTGAAACAATTCGGTGGGACTCTTTGAATCTTGCTACCCAACTGGGAGATGCTTTAAATATAGGATGTAAATTTCCTATTTCTTCCTGAGCTTGCAAAGCCCATCTTTTTATATCAATATCATGAACCATGAATCCTGATTCAACAGCAGCAGTAAATTTACCATGTGTAAATTTGGAGATGTAAGATAATTTTTCTACACGATTTCCACCTGATTGCAATTGTTCTTCCCACCGTCTTAACTGACGTAGAGATGAAACTCTTTTTTAAATGTATGTTGCACTGATTTTAGAGAACGACTCCTTGTTCTATCGTTATTATTTTCTTCATTATCTCTATTCCGCCAATACTCAACAGCCCGTCTTTTATAAGAATTGTCAAAATCTTCGTCAACATTTGAACATTGAGGTTGAGAATTCAAATTATCTTCACCCCATGCTTCTTCGTTATCTTCAATTATTTCCAGACTGTGTAATTTATAAGGTTCTTCATAATCGAGATATATTTCTTCCGTTACTTCCAACCCATTATAATGAAAAATGCTATCCAGTAATATTTTTTGTATGTTTTTTTTTTAATTCTATTTCTGCTTCAGTTACTGGCGTTTCTATTAGATACATTGAATTTATTGACATCAATAAAAGTCTAACAACGTTACGCGGATTAATAATCATTTCCAAGGATGTTAAACTTTGCTGTCTGTTGTAATAAAAACTATTTACTCCTAACTTCAACCATTTCAAAATTTTTACATGCTTCCGATAATTGGGTAAAAGCTATTTTATATTCAACATTTACCTAAAACAATACAAAATATTAACCGATTTTAATTCTTCTTTTTTTCATCGATATACCAGACATTATATAGATCAGACGATAACAATTAATTCTCGAAAATGATTTCTCGTAACGTTACTTTATTATACATGGTTGAGTTTGGAAAAAAATAACCTTTACTTTGGTAAAAAAAATTTTTAATTTTGCAAAAAGGGGGGGTGGAGGTGGTGGTTAAATAAAAAAATATTTAATAAAAAAAATTTTTCTTTGCATAACCTCAAAGTACTCTTCAAACCATTAAAATTTTGTTAAAACAATTTTTTTGTATGTCTTATAGTTTCGATAATATTCGATCTCAAAGAAAAAGACCGTTTTTTTTTCAAAGGATTGTTTCATCCCTTAAACATGAGATTGGGCCGATATAAAAAAAATACGTGTCTCTTTGATTTGGTTGTTTTATAACATATTTCAAGGAGAATCAAATCGGTGAGGGACACCCCTGATAGTTCCCTTGTCAGTGTCACATAACCGAATCTCTCCACTCTGACTCCTATCTCCTTTTTATTCGTTTGTCAATCATCGTCCAGTACGTAACGCTCCTAAAGTCCACTAACCAAAAAGCCTAAACGTAAGTAAATCAGTTGGTTAAATTGACTCTTTTCTCTCTTATTTCTCTTTCATATTCATACATCACACACACAGAAGTTTGTCGATCCCAGGGTAAATTGGTTTAATCCATTGACCCAAAAACGACAACTCATAAACATTCACGATCAAGACATGACATTATAAAATGTCACACACAGGTATTTACTAGCAGATAAATGAAACTATTTATTTTTATCATATCTTTCATAGAAACTGCATAATTGGAGCTAAAACATATCTTCTGAATGAACGTATGGATCACTTGGGCACAGCAAAATCGCAGTTAAATAGGTAAAAACCCAAATTTTGTTCCTTTTTCTTTTTTATTGCAAAGTGATCTAAAATTTTCATTATTCTGACTATCGATCGAATATTTTTCACGATCTCATTTTTATAAAAGATTAACGGCTTGTTAACATATACATTTTAAAACAGAATAGCTAGTAGGTACATTTTTTTTAATTTCTCGATAGCATATGGCAACTTTTAAATAAAAAATTGTGTGTCACTTCATCGAGTTGTTAATACTAGGCTAATTAATAGACAAGTTTTTCGACAAATAAAGTTATTCGCTTCGACTTAAATCGCAAATTTCGATTATATGGTCGTTAAATATATAATAATGAACATATTTATTTGTTTCCGGTATCATCAGAATGTACTGGATCGACATAATTGCGAAAGCCTCGTTTGTTATTTTCTTCATATGGATCATTTACAAAAACATTGTGTAACAAGGTAAATTGATTTTCATCAAAGTATACAATTTTTATGTACGACATTTAGCATCGAAGACTAATGTCCAAATGTCGAAATCAATTAATTATTATAAAATAATAATTTTTATTAGCGATTACTTATATAGAATGTCAAAGTTGACATTTGAAAAACGTTATTTCTTGAGTCTTGTAGGATGTTGTATTGTATTACTTTATAATTAAATTGTAATGGGTTGAATGTTATGGGTTGAATAAAGCAAAAAATTGTGAACATCGTCCCTCTTTTTTTATGCAAAGTCATGCCATTGTACGAACGCCAATCATACATTATGTATAATAAGCTTACATTTTGCATGACAGAAATGACAATAATATTTTATATGAATAAAATTCTTTCGAAGTTATGCGAACGTAGTGGAGATGTTATATATAATTTATATAATGTTATATTAATTTGTGTAATGTTATATTAATGGTATTTTTAGAAATTTCAAATTCAAATTATTTCTTTTTAAAGATATATATTGTATGTAACATAAGTTTTTACAAGTAAAACTTACCTAACTGCAAAAACGAAAAGATATCAAAAATATAATACTTACCTTTTTAAACAAAAAGGTAAAAAAAGGCGCCAACTATACGCGCAACACGTATTGTTATTTTTAGAAATCTCAAATTCAACTTATTATTTTTTTTCAAGATATACGAGGGCGGTCCGATAAGTACTTAGCCTCACCACCCGATGGCGCCACTATCGCAAGAGAAATTTACTATCGTGTAGTACATTCTCGTAGACGGCTACTGTCGAAATTTCAGCCGAATCGGACTCGTAGTTTTGTTTCGACCGCGTGTGGAAGCGGACGTGTCCGCGGATTTTAGAAAAATGGAAAAAGAGCAATATCGGTCGGTGATTCGATTCTTGTTTTTGGAAGGGAAATCGCGCAGCGAAATCAAAGAGCGCTTGGATGCTGTATACGGTGACTCTTCTCCTTCGATGGCGACCGTCAAAAATTAGTTTAACGAGCTTCAACGTGGTCGCACGTCGGTTTTTGATGAGCCACGCCCAGGTGCCCCGAAAACGGCTACCATGGAGGATAACATGACAAAAATCCACGATCTCGTATTGGCAGACCGCCGATTGAAGGTGCGCGAGATAGCTGAGACAGTAGGCATCTCAAAAGACCGCGTGGGTCATATTCTGCATGAAATTTTGGGCATGAGAAAGCTGTCGGCGCGATGGGTGCCGCGTTTGCTCACTCCGGACAACAAGCGCAACCGTGAGACCACTTCAGAGCAGTGTTTGACGCTGTTTAAGCGCAATCCGAAGGAGTTTCTGTGTCGTTTCGTGACCGTCGACGAAACGTGGATCCACTGGTACACACCAGAGACCAAGGAACAGTCGAAACAGTGGACTTCACCCGGCGAACGTGCTCCGAAGAAGGCGAAGACTGTCCTATCGGCCGGAAAGGTGATGGCCACCGTTTTCTGGGATTCACAAGGTGTGATCCACATCGACTACCTGGAGAAGGGCAAAACGGTCACAGGGCTGTACTATGCCGAATTATTGGGCCGATTCGACGCCGAATTGCAGAAAAAACGGCCCCATTTGGCGAAGAAAAAAGTGCTCTTCCACCATGACAACGCACCGGCTCACACCTCCGCCCTCGCCACGGTCAAATTGATCGAATTGGGCTACGAACTGCTGCCCCATCCATCGTATTCTCCAGATTTGGCCCCGTGCGACTTCTTTTTGTTTCCAAACTTGAAAAAGTCACTCGCCGGGCAGAAATTTGAGTCGAATGAGGAGGTCATCGCCGCCACGGAGGCCTACTTTGCAGACCTCGAGAAAACGTATTTTTCAGACGGGTTAAAGAAGTTGGAGCATCGCTGGGTCAAGTGTATCGAGCTAAAAGGACACTATGTTGAGAAATAAATCGCCACTTTTCCAAAATTTTCGTTTTTCTTTTGTAGGCTAAGTACTTATCGGACCACCCTCGTATATGTACATAAATTTTTACAAGTGAAACTGTAAGAGATATATAGTGACAAATCGATCTACGGACATAGTTATATTTAGTTGGTTACTGTCCGCGTTAAGTTCTTTTTTTTTCTTTAGTTGACAGGCGTGCTTGATGGACGTATGGTTTCAAGACGTCAAGCGAAAAAGACTGTTGTCAAGTCTGTCTCTCATTGTACGGTGATCGAGTAAGACGAGCGTGCGTGCATCATATACTGTAGCATAGTTCATTGTTTGTTTTCCTTTTCGTCATTAAAGCTAATATGACATAATCAGGGAAGAGTTAATCATTCATCCCCAACAATTGGTAGCAGAGGTTGGTTCGGTTCTAAAAGGGAACCCTGAGTAAAAAGTTCTGGTTAAGGAAAGAGAAACATGTCGGACAACGTTCGAGGTATGACGATAGCGAAACAAACATGGCGGAAAAATCATCATTACTGACTATCCTATTGCTGAGGGGAGATAACTAAGTAGATAGAATAGGGGGATTCTAACTCAAATTGCTAATTAATTATGCAAAAGATATTATTTTTTAATTAATACCTGCCCTTAATTGATATCCCCTCTTAATTGATTCCACCTCTTAATCGATCCCCCCTCTTAATTGATACCCCTTCTTTATCGATCCCCCCTCTTAATTGATACCCCTCTTTATTAGTACTCTCCTCCTCCTCCCCAGAATTTTTGATTCTATGAGCAAGATGGCGGCCGTGACGTCACGAGAGAAAAACGCATCGGGCTGTAGATAGACTCGAATCTGGGCCCCGCGGGTTGCTATCGGACGCTCGAACCTCCTAGACCATTGCTGCCTGTTGCTAGTAGACGTCTAGTGAAGGTTCTTACAGTATGTGTGATGACGTCACGTATACGTCAAAAGAAAAAACATGGCGGCGGTGTAGGCCAGACTCGAACCTGGGCCCCGCGGTTGCTATCGAACCTGGGCACCGCGATTACTATCGAACGTCTATCGGACGTCTCTCGAACGTCTAATAACACAGCCACACAAAAAAAAAAATGTCTTGATCTGGGGACGAGACATGTGTATTCCTATGTATTTTGACGCGCTGAATCCAAATCCGCTATCAGAATTGGCCCAACGGGTCTTGGTTCAACCCTAACCTCAAAAAACACTTAAAAATCACAGAAATATGCCATAAAATTGTGATATACTCCCTGACAGGCAAATTTTCACCTAAAATCCAATGTCTGCAGAGCCTTAACCTTACAATTAACCATTGTCCTGTTTCAGCATCCAGCAAAAATTTTTGCTGGTTGCTGAAAAGAGAAACGAATGTAAAAGGGAAGAAACATAAGCGAAACCTTTTGCATAAATCCTTCGAAGAAAAAAGAACACGGTATAGTAGAAAGAAAATAGATTGTAGACAATTTGTTAATTAATTTGATATGAATGACAAGTTAGATTTCATTTGAACATGAAAAAGAATATAAATTGTGACCCCGAGTTCATAAACTGCGACGCGAGAAACATTTGAAATGTCATGCTCATATATATACATATTTTGAGCACATGTCCTTCTTTTAATTGCAAAATGAGCAATTTTGAGAAATCAGAGGTATTTTTTAAAGTAAGATTCAATGGTCATGAGGTTGGGGATACAAGTAAGTTTCACAAAACCATAAAATTGAACTCGAATACCCCGAAAACGTACAGGAATGTGCTGACCATATGGACGGTCATGTCAACTTCAACCGAGAAAGGTTAGGTTAGGTTAGATTTTTTGTAGGTTAAGGCTTCGCAGACAATGGTTTCGTGTCAAAATTGGCTTGCCCGGCAGTAGAGTACAATCGGTTCGGTTGGGTTACGTGAGGTGAGGTTAGATTAGATTAGGCTAGGTTAAGTTAGGTTAGGTCAGATCAGGTTAATTGTAAGGTTAAGGCTCTGCAGACATTGGTTTTTAGGTGAAAATTTGCCTGTCAGGGAGTATATCACAATTTTATCGCATATTTCTGTGATTTTTAGGTGTTTTTTGAGGTTAGGGTTGAACCAAGATCCGTTGAGCCATTTCTGATAGCGGATTTGGATTCAGCGCGTCAAAATACATAGGAATACACATGTCTCGTCCCCAGATCAAGACACTTTTTTTTTTGTGTGGCTGTATAATCATCATACCGCAAATAAAGAACTGTATTTTTATCAAACACAATTATCATATAAAATCCTAAGAGGTGAAAGGGGATATGCGTGTTGGAAGAAACATCTGTACATTTGAAATAATGTTTTTATTAAACGTCGTACAATTTTTTACACGTCCGGGAGAGAAATGCCGTTTATAGCACTTTGTTCCGTGTATTATTCTTTTCTCGTACATACTTTCTGATGTTAGCTGAGTTTGCGCACTATGTCGGTTAGCGGGCTGTATTCAACTACACGATCATGCAGGATCAGATAGCACGCGATAGTATTCACCGGTATATTCTCCTTACACTCGAATTCTATCCGTACATCTGCAGTGGTGCTCTTGACGGACTCATATTGACGCGAACAATCGATAACCACGAAAGGATCTAGCCGCAGAAAGTCGGTAGTTGTTAACTATACCTCAGCACTGTTGCATCCATAATATGATTTACGAAAACGTCTATATATATCGTAAAGTACGGCGTATTTATTTTTTGCAAAGTCCAAATTCATGTCGTCGTATGGATAACTCTGAATTCAGATAGAGCTTCGCGTTGATCAATTTGCAGTCATCGAAACGAGTTATATTTTCCAACATGATATTCTTCCGGCCAATCTGCAGCGCAAAGATAACGTATCGAGGTTTCTCCAAATTAGTAGCAGTTTTGACAGTCCACAGGTGTTTAGTCGTGCTTTGCAGTAGAAGACATTCATACAGATCCCACGAGCGGAAACTCATACTCAGGTATCGTCCGTTCTCCAAAGTTTCCAGCATGGAAAGTTTTGATATCGTTCAAGATTACATGAGGCATTCGCCATTCATATCTTGAATAGCTCAATTTTGGGATCCAGCGCTGAAGATCCTAGTAGACTGTTGTTGTCGCTGTGCGATCATAATAGAATCAATTTGTGATGCGCGTTAATCACTATAC